TCTCAGGTCTATGTGTGTTTGTCTCACACTGTAATGAGTATTTGAAATCTGTAAAGCTGCACTAATTGATTTTTGATCCACGAGAGGAACTCCACTTCAGTCAGAATTGAAATCAGAAACACTGAGGAGTAGTTTCATTACACAATCCTCTCTGTGTGTGTGTGTGTGTGTGTGTGTGTGTGTGTGTGTATGTGTATGTGTATGTGTATGTGTGTGTGTGTGTACAACAGGGGGGTCAATGTGGCGACCTACAGGGGAGGGGAACTTCCTCACACACACACACACACACACACACACACACACACACACACACACACACACACTCACACACACACACACTCACACACCGCAGACAGACCTCACATCTCATTGTGGACACAAAAGCAGGAAGGACAAAATGACAGTGATGTCATTTTGTAGGCAAACTGTAAACCGGTGACACCTTGACCTCCTGCTGGGATTCCTGCTATAAACCACTAAAGGAATAAGAGATATATCTTCTCAGAAACATCCCTGAGTCATAAAAGTCCAAGTAGAAGCGAAGGTGAATAAGTTCATCTGACAAACTTCAGTTTTTGAACTCTCGTTTGACTCCACACACACACAGCTGTGAAACAGGAAGTGAAGATCGTTGACGCAGCAACGCTAACCCAAGAAGTGACATTTCCTCTGAAAATTAAAACCAAACGTTTCCTCAGCAAGCGACAAAAGAGCCAACCAGGGAAAGTAGGGGTTAACGAAAACACCTAAACAACCACGGACTACATGACCAGTCCCAAAGAAAATAAAGAAATGAATGCGGCGACGAACAAATCCATCAGTGAACGTTTAGAGAAAGTGAAGTCAGGAGTTTGAAATAAAGGAGAATCGTCGCGTTCGCCTCGTTGTGGTCATGCTCTGCAAAACTGGCAACCTGTTTGCTGCAAAGGGTGCAGAGTGTGTGTGTGTGTGTGTGTGTGTGTGTGTGTGTGTGTGTGTGTGTGTGTGTGTGTTGTGTGTGTGTGTGTGTGTGTGTGTGTGTGTGTGTGTGTGTGGTGTGTTGTGTGTGTGTGTGTGTGTGTGTGTGTGTGTGTGTGTGTGTGTGTGTGTGTGTGTGTGTGTGTGTGTGTGTGTGTGTGTGTGTGCAGTAAACACAGGTGTCTTGTTCGGTAAAAACCAGTAGATGTTGAGAGATAAAGTGAAGATGAAATGTTCTGACGTGAGAGACGAGAATCTGCCCTGACGTTACCCTGAGAAAAAGTTCATATGAACTCAGCGTCCAATCAGATTACAGAATAACGACATCCATGTATATAGGAGGTTAATGTGTGCATGTTAATGGTCTGCAAAGGCTAAAATATGGGGACATCACTACAGAACACTCGCGCTTCCATTTGTGTTTAAATACATAATCTTTACTGTAGTTGTTGTTGAATGCGTTCCTTTGTTTTGATTAAAATCGGTCAAATTTCACGGAAAGAAAGCTCTGTCTTTTGGTTAGTATAAGGCCCGGTCAAACTCTAAACTCTCGTCTATTTTGGCAAGAAATTGTAGGAATGTTTGGGTTTGTGGGACAAAAATAGCATTTCCCCAATCAATCAGAGATCAGACGCTTCAATTAAAGATACCGTCGTAGCTTCCTTCCTTTGTTTCCATCGAGTCACTAGACGTCTTATCTTTCAATATATTTGTGTTACTTGCCGTGTTGATGCTGTGCTACTCCCGTTTAATCAAAATACACACATTCAAAGAAAATATACCTTTACAACTGATATGGTCTTTCTTTTACTCTGTGTCGGCTAATATAAGTTAACGGTTAAACACTGTGCTTTGACAGACAGGTCGCCCATCTCTGAAGAGGCTGGTGCCATGGGAAATGTAGTCTTTTCAACTTCCTTGACTACAGAGGTCCAGATTAGGTGATACTATTTGGCCTTTTTGTTTTCCCTTTACGTACGCACCACGACACAAAGTCAAATTCCTCGTACGTATCAACCTACCTACATTTTTAGATAATATTGTTGCATAAAGCAGTGGATTAAAAGTACATCATTACCTCTGAACTCTAGTCGGGTTGAAGTACAAAGTAGCATACAATGGAAATACTCAAATAAAAAACAACAGCCTGGCTCTAACCCTTAAAAGCTGCAGTTCAGAAGAAGAAGAGAGGGATACTTGTACACTATGTTCGATTATAACTAGGGATGCTCCGATCGGCCGATACCGATCGAGTGGGCGGGGCCTATGGGGATCCTCCATTTAAAGTGATGTTTAAAACTCAGTTAATGCTCATTCACTGGAGCTTCCACAAACAACAACCAACATCATTATTACATTCAAGTGAAGTTCATTATTCAAGTTTACATTAACTGCTCACTGATCCAGTAATGAGTGACCCGACAGTGACAACTAGTTTAGCTTGTTCCAGAGGTAGATAAAATAGCTAAGTGTGTTAGGTCTAACTCTTAGTGTGTGTTCTGTTCCGCTCACCGGTCACAGCGGGTGGAGCTGCAGGATTTCTGCTTCACACACGTTGCATACTGCAATTTTATTGTCTTTTTCGGACACCTTAAAATACATGCGCAATGCTCTCGCAATCGGCATTTTTAGAGAGCACCGATCGATCGGCAGAGAGTGAGTATCGGCCGATATCGATCCCGATCAATCGGAGCATCCCTAATATAATAAATCCTAAGGATGTGGTTGTTTAAAGGTGTCTTTTGTGCTGTATTTGGGTCAGTGGTGGAATTTTGTTAGCCCCATTGGGAGGTGTAACAAATGGGGACTCGTCCAAGATTGAATGTCCATGAGGTAAATGTGTATTTGTCTGTATCTAGTGGCCGTTTTTTTGCTTCGTAGAGATTTATTTTGTGAATTAATGTGTGGTTGTTGCTGTTTGTTTAGTTAGGAATTTGATTTGATGAGCACCCTGACTAGTTAGTCACCGGCAGGTTTGAAGATCTTGCCACTTTTTTGGTGTTAACCCTGAGTGAGGTCCCGATTACGTGACAATATTTGGCCTTTTTTTACAAAAACAACAGACTAACACGTACCTTTTTATCCACGATGGAGCAGACGAGCTCTCGCACGGCGCTCAGTGATTGGTCGGCGGGGTCAAAGGTCACGCTCTCTCTCGTGAGTCCGATCTGAAGCAGGAAGGAAATGCCGTGGATGGACGAGCCTCGGGAGACGGAGGGACTGCGAGCTGATTGGCTGCTGTTAGAGTGCTGTGTGCAGAGCGTAGTGGGAGGACTGGGAGAGGGCGAGGGTGTGGGGGGGGCGGTGGGATGAGGGAAGAGCCGCAGGGAAGCTAACGGCGGCGCTAACGGCGGCGGAGGAGGGAAGTTATCCGTCGACATTTCTTTGTGTGTCTCTTCTGCTATCTGTGACGACATCCAGGTGGGAGGAAGGAGTCGCAGGTGAACGACATCCAACAAAAAAAGTGATGGTTTTTGTTCGTCAAACGAGAGATTTTAGTTCACATTTCCCACAGATAGAATCCAGAAAGAAGCATCTCTGAGGTACAAAGAAAGCAGGAAATCCATGGAGTTAAAGCTCAGGATCCTCAGAGAGTCAACTTTAAGAAGTTTTAGATCCTCAGGGCTCCTACTGGGAGACACTGCCGTTTCTCTTCTCTGGTTTCACTGGAAGCATCTGTTGGGGATAAAAGACAGAAGAGTTAATAGTTATCAATCGTAATTTGATCGGCTAGTGCATAACATAATGAAAAATATCTGAAAAAAGACATTATTGTGGTGCCGCGGAGACATGGCACATTTATGATGTCAAGAGGCGCGTTCACACCGGAGTACTTTTCCCGTTTAGTTCCGATAGTGCCTGGAATTTTGCATTCACGCCAAAAAGAGAACTTAGTTCCAAGAACTTTTATCCCCATTTCTAGTGCCTGCTAGAGAGGTGGTACTTTCCTGGGGAGAAAAAAGTACCAATTTCGATTGGCTGGGCAAATTGCAAACCACGCCCCGTAAAAAAAAGCCGCCATTGTATTTGCTGGCATTAGCATTATTAGCATTAGCATTAGCCCCGCGCACTAACGGAGAGAGAATAACTTATGGCAACACAAAAAAAAACATGGGAGCGGTGGAGATGAGGAGGTGTTGGTGTTCTGGCGATTTACTCTGAAGTTGTTTGTGGCCTGCCAGTAAACCCAAAGCAGAAGAAGAAGAAGTGACGTCAGCGGATTCATTTGCGTAATCTTCCCTCAGGGAACCTATTCCGGTGTGAACGCGATCTGGACTTAGGTCCATGGGGGTACTAAGTGCTTGGCACTAAGTACGGCAAAGTACTTGGTGTGAAAGCGGCTATTCTATACACTGAAAGAGGCCCTATTACTGTACGTTTTGAGGGGAATTATCTCTCCTGTAGGGTGTTCTATATAATAGGTTTTAGTGCATGTAAATGGTCTGCAAAGGCTAAAATAACAAAGTTCCGGAACACGGTGACATCACTACGGAACACTCACGCTCCTATTGGCTAGCGCTCAGACACATTGTACGTGATAGGCTAAGGAAGTGGGACATCTCTAAGCAGGTTGACCAATCACAACAGAGCCGGCCAGCTAACCAATCAGAGCAGACTGGGCTCTGGTTTCAGACAGAGGGTGAAAAGAGGTGCTGCAGCACAGACAGTATGAGAACAATAAAGAGCTTTTTGAACATTAAAGCATGGAGACATGTCCCAGTAGAGACACTACATATTAGGGATGCTCCGATCGATCGGCCGCTGATCGATATCGGCCGATACTCACTCTCTGCCGATCGATCGGTGCTCTCTAAAAATGCCGATCGCGAGAGCCGATCACATGACGTAAAATACATGACACTTTTCTCTGTGCGCGGCAAAACAAGCTCGCCAAAATGGCTTCACCGGTCTGGCAGTATTTTAAGGTGTCCGAAAAAGACAGTAAAATAGCGGCCGGTATGCAACGTGTGTGAAGCAGAAATCCTGCAGCTCCACCCGCTGTGACGGACCGGTGAGCGGAGCAACACACACTAAGAGTTAGACCTAACACACTTAGCTATTTGATCTACCTCTGGAACTAGCTAAACTAGTTATACATATATTTATTCTTCACTCTCGGGTCACTCATTACTGGATCAGTGAGCTGCATGAGACGATACTCACAGGCTGTCAGGAGAGGGAGAGAGGGGGAGAGGAAGAGAGAGAGAGAGAGAGAGAGAGGGGGAGAGAGGGGGAGAGAGAGGGGGAGAGAGGAAAAGAGAGTGCTTCCTCTCATTTCTCCCGTGTTATTCTCCAAAGTTAATGTAAACTTGAATAATGTACTTCATCTGAATGTAATAATGATGTTGGTTGTTGTTTGTGGAAGCTCCAGTGAATGAGCATTAACTGAGTTTTAAACATCACTTTAAATGGAAGATCCCCATAGGCCCCGCCCACTCGATCGGATCGGCATACTGATTCCGGCGATCGGAGCATCCCTACTAAATATGAACCTGAGAATGAGCAGCATAGGGCCCCTTTAAGTATTTGTATAGATATATATATAGTAGGGCTGTCAAGTTAACGCGTTAATAACGCGTTAACGCAAAAAAAAATTAACGCCACTAATTATTTTAACGCGATTAACGCATGTGTATTTTTTGTCCTCGGCCGCCGTAGTTTCAGAGCGCATCGAGTTTAAAATACCATCGACAAGCTGATGCTGACAGCCCCGCTCCTGCTGCCCGCTTGTGGCAGACCACACTTCCACGCTCACCGGCAGGCCCGGACTGGCCATCGGGAGGACCGGGAGGGTGTGTGTATGCGTGGCGCGAGCGAAGCACACCTTACGTGTTGTTGTTAGCATCTGGTGCTAGCTAGCTGAGCTAACGGATATAAGGAGCTGTTTCAATGAAAACAGAGGAGCGACATTTCGCCGACAACTGCGCTGAGCACTTGACTTTATGCAGGTAGCCAGACAGCACACTCAGCACGGATAGTGCCGCAACACAGCTCATACACACAGGCATATATGCCTTGAGCTGCACATAGCTCCAACGATCACACACACACACACACACACACACACACACACACACACACACACACACACACACACACACACACACACACACACACACACACACACACACACACACACACACACACACACACCACACACACACACACACACACACACACACACACACACACACACACACACACACACACACACACACACACACACACACACACACACACACACACACACACACAGTATTATTGTATGAGAGGTTCTAGGTTGAATTGAGGCGAATATTTGTAATGTTCAGGTTGTTGTGTTTAATATTCATGAGAATATTTGTCATTGTTCAAATGATAATAAACAAACATATAAAGCATATTTGTCCACTCATATGTTGATAAGAGTATTAAAAACTTGAAAAATATCCCTCTAAGGTACATTTAGAACAGATAAAAAATGTGCGATTAATTTGCGATTAATCGCGATTAACTATTTTAATCGACTGACAGCCCTAATATATAGATTAAGAAGTCATTTGTTACATGTATCAAGCCTGAGCTACTTAAAGTATAAACAAGTACTCATTGTGCAGAAAATGTGTGTTTAATTATATTTATGTGACATTTTCTAGATAGTATTGTAGCATCAAGTAGCATTTTACTTATTTAAATAATATGACTCTTGTGACATGAAGAGTCAGTCCACTAGTTAAATGTTTAAAGATGCATTTTGATGTAGTACAAAGTAGCATCAAATGGAAATATTTAATTAAAGTACAAGTACCTCAAAAGGTTACTTACGTAGTGTACATGTACTTAGTTAATTCCCACTTCTGAATGTGACTTTTTAACCTCGAAAAAAATCTGTATAGAGTTCAAGTTTCTCCATGTTGCTCAATTGTGTTATAGGGGACACAACAGAACAGATGCAACACAAAAACATAATTATAACAACAATAATCTAATTTATTTTACACATCTGTAGACAGTGGTGGAAAGTACATTTACTCAAGTATTGTAATTAAGTACACATTCTCTACTTGAGTATTTCCATTTAATACAAATGTATACTTCACTCCACTACTATTTCTTTGGTAAAATGTATTTTGTAGTAACTTTATCAATTCAGTTTTTGACACACAACACTAAGGGAAAGCTTTTAAAAAAAATTATTTCACAATATTTCAAAAATATTTTTGGAGTTTTTTCTGAAATTAGTACTTTTACTCCTAATACTTTAAGTACACTTTTCCTAATACTTTTACTTACATTCTCGATGCAGTACTTTTACTTGAAATGTAGTATTTTTGACACGGTTTTAGTACTTTTACTCAAGAATCGGAGTACTTTTCTCTATGTCTGTAGGTCATATCTGAGTGAGCACATCTGGATTTGAAATCCTAACCAGATGTGTGTAACAGTATAAAGTGCAAATAGAAAGTTTGTTTTTAAGGCACTTACAAGGTTTAATATAAAATAAGTTAAAGCTCCGTTACCTCTGAGAACAGGGCGGCTTTTCCGCTTCCATCTGCGGGCAAACCGAGGAGAAATGCTCGGTAAAGTAATCCAGCTGGTGCCGCTGAAAGGCTGAAATGAAACCAACAAAACCCAGATAAAGTCCGCTGTTGTGTTCGCTACACCGGGTCTGAGAGTGTGGAGAAAAGCAGGTTGAATTATAATAAGATGTTCTCTGGTTGTGTCGCTTCTATCCAAACTTTCCCCCCGGAGAAACCGAGAGATCCTGACCGAGCAGGAGCAGCTTCAGGCGGATCTGATGATCAGAGAGAGACGGGGAGCAGAGAGAAGTACCAGGAGGAGGTCTCACTCTGATGGATATTCTGGAGACCGAGTTTTTTAAACAAAACCGAACAAGCGAGAGGGAAAAGGTCAAGGACAACATTTAATTATTAACAGAGGTGGGAAGCAGTGGCGTAACAAGGTTGTGATTGGCCCCGGTGCAAATACTGTTTTGCCCCCCCCCCCCATCGCCCCATCGCCCCAAACATAAGCCACGCTGATGCGCTCACACACACGGACATACACAACCACTCAGAAGCGCCACATGTATAGGCTATCAACAACAGCTTGCCCTGGCCTCAGACCACCACAGCCTGACAACGGCACAGCGAACTAAGAAGAGAATTACACCTGTTTCCTTGATGTTTGTCTCTGGGGAATGGGCCGGTAGGCCTACATAGACCGGTTGCTATAATATAGCTTTTGATCTTGGCGTCGGGGGTCTCAATAGCGCCATAGAGTCCCCTATCGGGTGGGGCCCTTGGGGGAACTGTTGGACCACCGCCGGGCACAGCCAAATCCAGCCTCTCCTCCTGGCTGGCTGGAGAAGAAGGTTGCACAGCCACAGCCACGGATACAGCTTCACTTGTGGAGCTAGATGGCAATGATGGTGGTGAGCTATCGTTAGCCTCCGGCTCCGGCTGCCGCTGCACGTCAACATTGCTAACGTTAGCGCTCGATTTCGAGGACGATGTATGACAAAAAAAACGGTCTAATTTTGTCAGTTCAGCTGTTACATCTCCTTGTTCTCTCTTGTCCTTTCTCTTTTGAGCGCTGCTCTTGTGCTTTGGTTTGCTGTCCATTATAGATGCAAGCTATTACATTTTTTATAATGCTACAGTACAGTACAGGTTGATTAAACGGTTCGCTCGTCACGCAAGGTATCACATGACATGAAAGGGAGCAAGGTCATTGGACAGACAAATTACAAATTAATTTAGGTTGCTTGGTTACTTTGAAGACTGCGTGAACCGGTCAATGCCATTGGGGCCCCAAAAAATATATATTAAAAAAGAATATTATGCAGCTGCACCACAAGTACAAGATCTGAATACTTCTACTTTTACTCAAGTACAAGATCTGAGTACTTCTACTTTTACTCAAGTACAAGATCTGAGTACTTCTACTTTTACTCAAGATCTGAGTCTCTCTCTCTCTAGGTCGTCCTCAGACGAGCCCTCCACTTCATGGTTGGCTTTACTATGCTGATTAAGGACTGGGGGGCGCAACTCCTCTCAGTCCTGGTTTTAGTTCAGAGTGTCCTTCTCCTAGATGGGTTGCCTTCCATGGCTATGAGCCCATAGCTGGGACAGTCGGTAGCACTTGGTCTTTCCGGGACTTGAACTGGTGACCTTCCAGTTGCCAAGCCAAGTCCCTATGGACTTCGCCACCACCGCTGCAAACTCTACTCTACTCTACTTTTACTCAAGTACAAGATCTACAGTCTAATAGTAATCTGTGTTAATCTGACTCTTGTTATACCTCAGAGTGATTCATCCTTCATTGTCTGCAGTTTATAGAAGATCTTTGCCACGTCTCTGCCGCTGAATGTAATGACTCTGTGGCGCCATCTGCTGGTGGAAATACTGCATTACACTACAGTGTGGCAACTACCACACTGTAGAACATACCCTGTTATAAGTATAAGGAAGGCATTTAAAAATGTTACTTACATGTGAAAAAAATGTACTTTTAATATACTATATATCATTACAATATTATCACTCATGCATTTAAGTAAAATAATAATTTCAATGTTCTTTTTTAGTTGAGTTATAAATAATTGTAACCTATTAACTACTTATTCATATGGTTTGATAGAAATGTGTTAATTTGTATCAATATATAATACAAAATATAATAATAATAATAATAATAATAATAATAATAATAATAATAATAATAATAATAATAATAAAATTATATTAATATTGTAATACTACTAATAATAAAAATAAAAATAAAAATAAAAATAAAAATAAAAATAATAAAAATAAAATACTAATAAAAAAATATTAAAAAAAGTATACAATAATAATAATAATAAAATAAATAAATAAATAAATAATAATAATAATTCACAAAGTGCACTACGTGGTGGAAGCAGAATTTAAACACTTCAGGACTTAAGTGAGGCAAACAAAATCAAGGTGTTTAATAAAAATAATACAAAAATAGAAAACATTAAAATAGAAAACAATACTATGACATGAAAAATAATATTAAGAATATTAATAAGATAACGATATTTGTGCAGCTTTAATAACACCTTTCATAAACACACACATATCAATATTATATATATATATTATTATATATTAGTACAGTGCCTGAGTGAATGGATGTAAATCACATTAAAGTGAAATATATAAGAGTCACTTGGTGTTTGTTTTGATTGTAATAGCGTTCATGTTGTCTTTGTTGTTGTTGTTGTTGTTGTGAAAGCGTCCTCAGGCTCTGCAGCGCCCCCTGCAGCCCGGCTGTGATGAGCGACCTCCTGAAGCAACAGGAGGTTACAAAGTTTCCACTTCCTGTACGTCGGCGCCGCAAGAGCCGGGTCGTTCAGAATCTGATCCAGAGTCTGCAGCTCACTCTGTTTCGCCTGAAGGACGCAGAGAAGTAGAAATATCATTCGTGGAAAGTACATTTACAACGGTAAGATGTTGACGTATATTTACTTTACTTAAAGGTCCCCTATTATCCTCTTCTTCATCAATATATTATAGGTCTCAGATATATCCAGAACCTGTCTCTGATTGGCTGAAACACCAAACAGATCATTGCAGCATTACCCATAATCCCCTCTGTTTCAGCCCTGTTTCCAATAGGTGCTCTCGGAGGAGATTCAGGTGATAAGGGGGGGGGGGGGGGTTACCTTGGTTGCTGATTGGCTAATGGTTACACATGTTGATATAGAAGAGACATGAAGAAGAGGGGACACATGTTGATGAAGAAGAGACATGAAGAAGAGGGGACACATGTTGATGAAGAAGAGACATGAAGAAGAGGGGACACATGTTGATGTAGAAGAGACGTGAAGAAGAGGGGACACATGTTGATGTAGAAGAGACATGAAGAAGAGGGGACACATGCTGATGTAGAAGAGACATGAAGAAGAGGGGACACATGTTGATGTAGAAGAGACATGAAGAAGAGGGGACACATGTTGATGTAGAAGAGACATGAAGAAGAGGGGACACATGTTGATGTAGAAGAGACATGAAGAAGAGGGGACACATGTTGATGTAGAAGAGACATGAAGAAGAGGGGACACATGTTGATGTAGAAGAGACATGAAGAAGAGGGGACACATGTTGATGTAGAAGAGACATGAAGAAGAGGGGACACATGTTGATGTAGAAGAGACATGAAGAAGAGGGGACACATGGTGATGTAGAAGAGACATGAAGAAGAGGGGACACATGTTGATGAAGAAGAGACATGAAGAAGAGGGGACACATGGTGATGAAGAAGAGACATGAAGAAGAGGGGACACATGGTGATGTAGAAGAGACATGGAGAAGAGGGGACACATGTTGATGTAGAAGAGACATGAAGAAGAGGGGACACATGTTGATGTAGAAGAGACATGAAGAAGTGGATGTTGCATGACAGGGGACCTTTAAAGAGTGATTGTACTCTGCAGTGTTTCTGTAACTCACCTTCATCGTGCTGCTGAGGATCCTCAGGAGGTGAAGCTCTTCGTTGATCTTGTCGTCGGGACAGCGGCGGATGAACGAGGCTCTGAAGTCTTTCTGAGACGACTGACCAATGGGAGAGAGGCGTGCGGCCTGCAGGCGTTGGTAGAGCAACTCCATCTCGTCAGGAGGAGGATCTGCAGGAGACAGACCTTTTGGTACTTTAAAGTGGACCTATCATGCTATATTATAATAATATAGTGTAGGACCATACCTATATAAGGCATATTTATACTTTTGTTTTTTTAAAAATACCAAACAGATCATGCATTTTAGCCATGCCTCATTTTGCTTAATTTGAAATTTTTTAGATCTGTTTTTAGCAAGGGCAGATTCAGGCCCCGCTCACACGGGACCGTTTGCGTTTATGCACAGTATGCGTATTCAAAAAAGTCTTCCGTTCACATGCATTTGTTTCATTTAACGTGTCTGTTCAAACGAGGCCGCTGGAAACGCTGTAGTACATATGCTGGGACTGTAAGTGGCGCTGTAACTTCCGCCAAAATACACCAAAAGCCGCGAAGAAGAGCAGCCCGAGCAGCCCCGCTGCAATGTTGCCATGGCTACCCTTCTGTTTAAGCCCCGAAACTGAAACTGAAACTGAAAGAAACTGAAGCACGTCTCCGTGGAGAGGACGGCTCAGAAAGAGAGAGATATTCTCTACAAACACCGGGTGAGATCCTCCTTTGTCAATATAATGGATCAATGCATGAAATCTGACTCTGTTTATTTTGTTTAAGGAGTATATTGGGCGTTAACAATTCTGGTTTGCCTTTTATAATATTATTTCATTCAAGAACCCCTTGTGCGTTTAATTAACACAGCTATTTTTGATAGTTGATACAGCAGTGAGCAGGAGAGGTGGGGAGAGGCGGGGCTATCGTTATTTTTTCAGGAAATATTCGTATCGAGGTGATTACACGGACTCGGTTGACCCCCCAGAGCGTTTCGTTTGCAAATCTATCCACCTTGGGACCCGTTATTGTTTGTGGGGTCAGTTTCTATCGGCCTCGTGTAAATCATAGGGCTATACGCACGCGAAACTATGCAGATACAAGCAGTTTTCTCCTCGTGTAAACGGCGCCTCAGTGAGAACAGCACCATCTACAGGCCTGGCATATGTACTACAGCGTCTCCAGCGCTTTCGAACGGCAATGGTCGTGGCTGTCTCCTCCTGATTGGTGGAGTTGGCCCAATAGCCGTAGCGCCACCGTCCTGACGTCAGGACAGTGTTCAAATCTGGATCAGTTTTTATCAGATCCGTTGCAGCCCCTTTTTTAGAGATTTGGGTATGGAGGAAAATAGAGAGGGTTGTGTTTTCTGACACTTGGTGAGTTCCCTGGAACACCGGGGACACATATTCATGTAGAAAAGACGTACAAAAGTGCATTTTGCATGATAGGTCCCCTTTAAGTAAAGGATTGAGGTAGATCATTTGTTTATATATCATTTGTAAGTCAATCATATTTTTGTTTATCGATTTGATACTGCTGAAGTTTGTACAGTATCATAATTCACTTGTTTCATTTCATTATTATTTTTTATTGTTTTACACGTTCTAAATAAATCTAATCAAATTAAATCAAATGCAACAGAACCAGAGATTATTGTATTTTCTATTAAACACGTTCTTCTTCTCTGTACATTAGTGATGGAAGAAGTGTTCAGATGTTTTAGTGAAGTAAAAGTACTTATACTAAACTGAGAGAAGACTTTAGCGCAGTGTTTCTCAAACTTTTTCAAACCAAGGACCACCTAACTCCACAAATATCCCAAATCACATCGTTTTTCTAGAACAGATTACAAATCGCCTGAAGATGGTACAAACAAGTGGCAACATGCGTGATGAAGGTGTTGCGCTGGGCTATATCATGCAATCGAAAGTGAAACTTAAGCTCGCTCCATTGCGGAGATATTCCCGCGAGAGTGCGGAAAACTCTAATAAATTAATTAATTTCAAATGTGAAATTGTACCAATATACTCATGGACCACTAGGGGGCGCTCGCGGACCACACTTTGAGAAACACTGCTTTAGGTGATGTTCCTGCTTTTATGACGTTATGAAAGTTAAAGTATGGAATGTATAATAACAATTATAATAATAATAATAATATTAATAATAATAATAATAATAATAATAATAATAATAATAATAATAATAATAATAATAATAATAAATATAAATAATTATAATTCTTTTTTAAATAGAATAATAATAAATAATTATAATAGCCAAAAAAAACAAAAACAATTACAAGAATAAAAATCTAATAATCATATTAAAAAACGAATTAAACTAATATTAATAATAATAAAAAAACTAGTAATAATAAAAACAAACTACTACTACCAATAATAATAATAATAATAATAATAATAATAATAATAATAATTACTAATAAATGCCTCGAATAAAAAATAGGAAATAAAATGTAAACAATTATTTATAACTATTAGAAATATGATTGAACCGTACACCCCAGCACGTGCACTCCGCTCTGCATCGGTCAAACGGCTCACTGCACCCGCACTGCGAGGGGGACCCAAGTTCCCATCAGCAGAAACACGTGGGTTTGCTATCCTGGCTCCAAAATGGTGGAATGAGCTCCCCATTGACATCAGGACAGCAGAAAGCTTACACATCTTCCAGAGCAGACTGAAGACTCATCTCTTTCGACTCCACTTCGAGCGATAGAATTCCTAACAAAGCACTGATATACTAACAAAGGACTGGCTTATCTAAAGCCAGTTGAGTAGCACTTGAAATGTTTAGGCTCTATGAAACCTGATGTACTTATATGATTCTGTTTTCTTCAAGTTTGTATCTTGTTGGTCAAATGCACTTATTGTAAGTCGCTTTGGATAAAAGCGTCAGCTAACTGTAATGTAATGCAATGTAATGTAATGTAATGTAATGTAATGTAATGTAATGTAATTAAATGTAATGTAATGTAATGTAATGTAATGTAATGTAATGTAATGTAATGTAATGTAATTAAATGTAATGTAATGTTGTATACTTTTTGTATTATTATTATTATTTAATGTCCAGCTTCTATTCTTCTTATTTCTTTTTTAATGATCTGCTTTTCATCGTGGTTATGATGGCATGTATGGAGCGAGTTAAAACAAACTTTAATTACAAAAAAATATTAAAAAATCCAACATTTTTTTCACTCAGCTCCTGAAACACTGGAGGTGTATTTTAACAACAACAAAACAACAACACCTGTAAACAAACAAAAGTGTGTTTACCTGTGACGGCCTCTCCTCCTCCTCCTCCTTCTCCTCCTTCTTCTTCTTCTTCTTCTCTCTCTTCTGGGACGTGCAGCAGAGGGACAGACGCTCCTCCTCGGCCCCCCCCCACTCTTCTTCTACCTCTTCCCTTTCTGCTCAGAGGTCCCTCCTCCTCCTCCTCACCACAGGGGGAGGGAGGAAGGACCTCAGAGGGAGGCGGGACCTCGGAGGGAGGCGGGACCTCAGAGGGAGGCGGGACCTCAAAGATAGGCGGGACCTCAGAGGGAGGCGGGACCTCAGAGGGAGGCGGGACCTCAGAGGGAGGCGGGACCTCGGAGGGAGGCGGGACCTCGGAGGGAGGCGGGACCTCAAAGATAGGCGGGACCTCAGAGGGAGGGAGGACCTCAGAGGGAGGCGGGACCTCAGAGGGAGGCGGGACCTCAGAGGGAGGCGGGACCTCAAAGATAGGCGGGACCTCAGAGGGAGGGAGGACCTCAGAGGGAGGCGGGACCTCAGAGGGAGGCGGGACCTCAGAGGGAGGCGGGACCTCAGAGGGAGGCGGGACCTCAAAGATAGGCGGGACCTCAGAGGGAGGTGGGACCTCAGAGGGAGGCGGGAACTCAGAGGGAGGCGGGACCTCAGAGGGAGGCGGGACCTCAGAGGGAGGCGGGACATCAGAGGGAGGCGGGACCTCTTCTCCCTGAGAGGAGGACACACGGTGGGTTTTAATATAAAATGTAAATGTCTGCAGGAATTACAAATAAATGTTTATATGATTCTCACGTTGTCAGATTCTGCTGCTTCCTGATCGCTGCCCTCACTGTAGCACTCTATACACACACACACACACACACACACACACACACACACACACACACACACACACACACACACACACACACACACACAGTTATATTCCTGTATTCATTCATGATACATGTTATATTTCCTGTATTTCTGACCTTCAGTGTCGATCAGCTCACTCGGCTCAGCTGCTTCTGACAGTTTACTGATCCACCTGAACACACACACACACACACACACACACACACACACACACACACACACACACACACACACACACACACACACACACACACACACACACACACACACACACACACACCTCTTTTAGGACTATTGGAAAACGCTCTCTTCTCCTCACCTTGTTTCCTTCTCTACTTGTTCCCTCTCCTTTCACTTAATTCCTTTCCCTTTCTCTCCTCTCCTAGTCTCCTCTCCTATTCTGTTGTTTATTCTCCTATGCTCTTGTTTCCTCTCCTATTGTCTAGTTTCCTCCTATTTTCTCTCACTCCCTTTCTTCACTCTTTTCTACTCACCTCACTTCCTTCCCTTTACTCTCCTCTCCTCTCCTCTCATTTCCTCCGTCCTCCACTTGTTTCCTTCGTCTGTCTGTTATCACTGACAGCATCACTAAAGCTAAAGCTCTTACAGTAAGTGACTCGGCACGATGACAGTGAAGTTCATTCTAATAATAAAATGTGTTTACAGCAATGACTGGGCATCTTCTCTCGCTGCTCAAAACAAGAAGTGGATAAAAGCTGAGAGATGATACGAGGAAGAAGAGGAAGAAGAGGAAGAAGAGGAAGAAGAGGAAGTGCTCAAAACGATCTTCAGTACAGAGATAACAGAGATAAATAACCACAGAACTGTTTATGTGATCGACATCGAGTCTGCTGTGGAGGTTCGGATCCTAAGAGGGGGATTCACAATCATTTCAATGACCTCTGACCTCTCGCGCTACAAACAACACAGTTCATGGCAGCACATATGAGTTAGAAGTATTAATGCATTGCAACAAGACAACACAAATACATGTTAGAATAGATATTTGTTGGAAGAATTCAAAGTAATGGCTCTGGACAAATGCTACCAGAGTTAAGGAAATAAAGTAACCCAGAGTCAGAGACAGTTTCATCCCTCAGGACATAAGACTAGTAAACACCTGAACTCTGTAAAGAACATCCATCTGTTTGCATCTTGCTAATTATTTATCTAATAATATTCCATGTACTTGTATATAGCCTATTCTTGCACTATTTCTATTCTATTTGTGTTTACTTGCACATCTCCAAACATTCTCCTGTGTTGGGGAATCATTTGCTTAGGTGTTCAACCTTTGACCCAGTTCATCATTTTCTCCTCTCACTGTCTCTTTCCCACGGCATAGGTCTACGGCCTGGGTATTGCTGCTATCTCTCTTAAGGAGGGGCAGCTTGGGTATTGCTGCTATCTCTCTTAAGGGGGAGGAGCTTGGGTATTGCTGCTATCTCTCTTAAGGGGGAGGAGCTTGGGTATTGCTGCTATCTCTCTTAAGGGGGAGGAGCTTGGGTATTGCTGCTATCTCTCTTAAGGGGGAGGAGCTTGGGTATTGCTGCTATCTCTCTTAAGGGGGAGGAGCTTGGGTATTGCTGCTATCTCTCTTAAGGAGGGGCAGCTTGGGTATTGCTGCTATCTCTCTTAAGGGGGAGGAGCTTGGGTATTGCTGCTATCTCTCTTAAGGAGGGGCAGCTTGGGTATTGCTGCTATCTCTCTTAAGGAGGGGCAGCTTGGGTATTGCTGCTATCTCTCTTAAGGAGGGGCAGCTTGGGTATTGCTGCTATCTCTCTTAAGGAGGGGCAGCTTGGGTATTGCTGCTATCTCTCTTAAGGGGGAGGAGCTTGGGTAGTGCTGCTATCTCTCTTAAGGGGGAGGAGCTTGGGCGCATTGTTATTGCCAGTCTATGACAGAGCACAAGCCGCCATGAGGTAGTTTACTGTTCAGGGACGTAGGTTCCCTGGCGCACATTGTTTCCTATGGACGAGAGCTCTAGTTAGATTCAGAGTCCATATTTGTTTAGTCTCGCTGACGAAGAATGTTTATTATTACACTCTGAACTAGTTAAAACCTCGAGCTGCAGAAAGAGTTCTTCAGAATTGGTTTGGCAACCGCTGTGTCAACTCATGACACACCACCTGTCTTGTCAATTCTCCGGCCGTAACTCCAAATAAACCGTCAGTGTTTGCCATCAAAGCTCCAGCTCTCCTCGTGTCTCTCCGAGTCCTGACTCCAATTGCTTCAGAAGTTTCCCCCACATCTTGCACTATTTTATCAGTTTTATTTGTTCGATGTCCTATATATATATATCCATGTTGCTCTGTTGGAGGAGCCTGGGACTTCAGCTGTTCATTGACATATCTACACTGTACGTAATGTGGACAATAAAGCCTTGAATCTAGAATCTTGAATACTCACTTGTTCATGTCTGTGAAGCTCTCTGCAGCGATGAAGATGGTCACAACCAGAGGATGGCTGGCTGTTATGGAACTGAAACACAACACTGTGCGGTTAATATTACAAATACTTCTATATATAATACTTCATTAGTCGACAGGTGAGTTTCACACAGAGAAACAAACATGGCGTACTGTTTCTTCTTGCACTGCTGGGCCTTTTGGATGGTGAAGCCGGGCAGGGAGATGAACCCTTCAGCTTTCTCCGCCTCAAGAGATAAGATAAGAAGTACTGTATTGATACAAATTTGAGACATGTTTGAGGGGAGGAGAGGAGGAACACCTCAGAGAGACACAAATAGGATACAATTCAAAATGTGTTGGTTATATTTTGTATGGATAATCTGAATCTGCAAAGTAACTAAAGTTATCAAAAAAGGCTCGATGTAGTCGAGTAAAAAGGACAATATTTGCGTCTAAACTGAAGAAAATATGACAGAAAGAAGCTTTTCCAGTTTCTGTTTCTCACCATCTTGTTGGAGTACCAGTAGAGCGAGCTCTTCTTCAGGACGAACCAGTACCTCTTCCACCTGGCTCCCAGGAAGCTGCGCGCCTCCTTCCGGCGGAGCAGCCAGCCCTGACAGTCCGTCCGACCCAGGTCTCTCACGGAGACACGCCGTCGGCTCATTGCTGAAGGAGAAACATCACAACATTGTATATATACAATACAAAGGGGCTTTATTGGCATGGCCACATTTTAAATTGCCAAAGCATTCCTCACAAGGCGTTATAACAGAACAAAACAAGAAGAAACACGACACATACATGTCTGCAATACATGTGGAACAGCAAAACACAAAACAAACTGTATATGCCAACAACGTGCAAATAAAAAGTGAAGGAAAGGAAATGAGAGCAAAGGAGAGGAAACGAGGTGAGGAGAGAAAGGGAAAGGAAATTAGCAAAAGGAGAGGAAACAAGTGAAGGAAACAAGGTGAGAAGAGTGTTTTCCAATAACAGAGTGTCTATTCTGTTATATACAGCATAGGATAGGAAACTAGATAGAAGGAGAGGAAACTAGACAATAGGAGAGGAGACTAGGAGAGGAGAGAAAGGGAAAGGAATTAAGTGAAAGGAGAGGGAACAAGTAGAGAAGGAAACAAGGTGAGGAGAAGAGAGCGTTTTCCAATAGTCCTAAAAGAGGTGTGTGTGTGTGTGTGTGTGTGTGTGTGTGTGTGTGTGTGTGTGTGTGTGTGTGTGGTCACTCACTGCTCCTGAGGTTGTGGCAGGTAAAAACGTATTCTGCTATATATAATATCCTGCTTTATATTTTGTTAATGTACATTTGTATTTCCACATGTATTTTTTTAAACTTTTTTTAATGCTATTTTATTTCTATTGAGATGTTTACATTTTGAATTGTTTATTTCTAGTCTTTTAATTTCTCTAATGTACAATGCCTTGTCTTTTTATGCTGCTGCAACGCAAACATTTCCCAAATTGGGATCAATAAAATACTTCTTATCTTAACATGCACCTTATGAGACCTAAAGTCAAACACCACACACTTCCTTCTCAGTCATAACTCAAATTAAAGCACACACACATGAAATGCATGATTTAAAACCACTTATTACAACACACATAAAAAGGAACTTCTAATAGTTAATTCAGCATACTTTGAATGTGTTCATTTGCTGAAACACAACCAGAAATAGACCGAACACGTCGTCACGTGACAAATACTCTTTAACTTTCTCTGGAATGCCATTAAATATATGAATATAAAAAATAAATCCTTACATAAATAAATGAGGCATTAAACTCACCTTCAATAGACAAAAGGAGTTCTCTAGTTGTTTAAAAAACATACTTAAAATTCAATAAAATAATGTTTTTATTGAACTATATTGACTAACTTATATATTACATTACATACATACTATTCACAACATCTTCTTACTTGCTTGTCTATCGGTGTCTAACCATGTTTGTGGCTTTGTTTGTCCATGTATTTAAACATATGTGTGCAAAGAAAAAATGCAAAAAATCATAATTTCTTTGCAGTAAACAACGTCCCAGTTGAGCTTGATGATCATTCCTACATTGCAGTGACATTTAATTCTGGTTTCAGAGACTAAATACCACAAAACCCCCTAAAAACAGTCGTCTTACCTGCAGCAGTGTGTCGTCTCTGCAGCTCAGCAGAGGAGGAAGCTGCCTGTGAGAATGTCTACAGTGAACACAGACACACACAGACACACACCACAAAGACCATATCCCACACACACACACACACACACACACACACACACACACACACACACACACACACACACACACACACTTCCTGTTTCACACATTGAACATGACCCTTCAGTTTCTTAGAGACTCAGCGCAGTCACACTTCCTGTTTGTTGTCTAGAAAACAAAACATTTAATTGTCAGACGTTTGGTTTGAGCTTCTTTCTGCAGTACGGTCTTTTAATCACGTGAGAATTAAGATTACTCAACGCAAAGAAATAAGAAAAGTGTTCTTGAATGTATAAATGAGGGGGCCAATTTGGGTTTTTTCTGAAATACTGCAATCTAAAAGACCATTATCTCATAATCTCTAATAGTTTGACCTTAGTTTGAGAGGGGAATCATTCATATAAGAACAGTTCAATCAGTTTGTCTGATCGATGGAGATACAGTAATGCATTAATGAAATAAGTTCAATGAATGTTCAATAATGTCCTCTAGGTGGTGCCATCACTCTTATCTTTTGAAAAGGCTTCAGACTTGAATGAATGTAATTAAAAAAGGTACGATAAGCTACTTTAAAAACATAATTTCTAGCGTTTTACCAAAAAACAATTGACACACTGTGGATGAACTTTACAGCCAAACAAATACAGCTTCTGCTCCTGAGTTATATAATGATAAAACCTTGTACACCTTAAATTATAAAGATGTCTTTCCTCATCTGAATTGAGGATGCAGGGGTCTCGGTTTATGCAGGTTTTCAGAATCAAATAAAGTCGACTTCTTTTGGATTTACGTAAAGACAGGCTGGTTTACATGTGACAACAGAGCTTCAAATCTAAACAAAACACAAGCACAACAATTAAAATGAATTATTCAGGACAAAAGACTTGTGGGTGATGGAACCACTTCTCATAGCTCCAAAAAACACTGAGCTTTTTGGCTAAATATGTTCAAGGAAATAAAATGTGTGACACTTAAACACGTTTCTGCAATATGAATAATAAGAAATAATTTACAGAAACACTACTTTGTTGTTAGCTTACAGGTTAATAATACCCACCACATTATTTACTCAATTTCTCTTTAAACATTACTGCACTTTGAGAGCTTTCATCTTCAAAATAAAATTCACTTTATTTTGTATATTTTAGTTACAAAGCACAAGAGGCATCATTTCATACTGCAACTCTGTGAAAAATTCAGATGTACACATGTAGTTTGAAAACCAAAAGAGACTCTTACAAAATATTTTACAGGAAAATCAGATTCTTGATTTGCTGTTATGTTCAGAAACAAAAGTCTAAACCCTGCAGATCCAGCAAAGGACATGCCTCCGTGATATTTACAGCTTCATTACACTCTGATCATCTTATGTACACGCTTTTATATCTCTTGCATAATGTTTTGTTAGTAAAAAACACCTAAGAAACACTCTTTACAAAATGAAATGATCCTGTAGGAGACTTAAGGAGCTCCTTAGATTGTAAACATCAGAGGATCCAAAACGCCGCCCTGAGGAACTCCGTCAAAAGGATTTTCATAAATATACACAAGAGTTCTTCAGAAAACGTCAAGATGAACCACTGAAGTTGTTTAAGGGCAGGAAACCAAACTTAAAATACTTTATATCAGCTATATGCAAATGAAATGACAAATTAATTTAAAGGTCACCTATCATGCAAAATGCACTTTTTTATGTCTTTTATACATAAACATGTGTCCCCGGCAGGGGCGGACTGGGACTACAAATCAGCCCGGGACTCTCGACCGGCCCACTCCGGTAAGTAAATTGTCACCGGGGGGTGGGGGGGGGGTGGTGCTAGTGAGTTATCCGAGCGGCCCACCTCGGTGCCGCAAGTAAATACCGCGAGGAAATTGTCGACGGGGGGGGTGCTAGTGACTTATCCGAGCGGCCCACGTTGTCCGACCGGCCCACTTCAGTACCGGCCCATCGGGATTCGTCCCGAACGTCCCGATGGCCAGTCCGCCCTGGTCCCCGGTGTGTCAGGGAACTCACGCAGCGTCAGGAAATAAAACCCTCTCTCTTTTCCTCCGTACCCAAATCTCTAAAAAAGGGGGAACAACGGAGCTGATCCAGATTTGCTTCCGATATGACGCAATATCTGAACTGTGGACCCACGGCACTATCAGAAACGTTGCTATCAGAAACAATGCCCGACTGTTTTGGACGTAATATGGTCGGTGTTTACATTAGCATCGCTAACACTCAGAGCTAACCTGTACTGGAGAGCATGTGTGTGAAGAACATGCTTTTTTTAAAACTTTATACCCCAAATCAGCACTTTTGAAACAGGAAGTGAAATAGAGGGATATGAGGCATGGCTAGAATGGGTGATCTGTTTGGTATTTTGAGCAAAACACTTCATAGACATGTTTTTTTATTTATTTTTTATATATCTGAGACCTATGCTATTGCCTAAAAATAGCATGATAGGTGACCTTTAAGTTTAGGTTTGAGATTTAAAATGAAACGGTAAAATCTCTTAAAGTCAACACAGTGTTTTGGGGATTTAACATTTTAAATTTCACTCATATCAGCAAAATATAAATTGAGCTCATTGTTTCTGTGAGAGTTCACAAGTTATTCCGATTGATCCTATTAAAAGGATTTCATTTTTTCTCATATTACGAAGTCATCATTACGTTTTTTATTTACAAAAACGTTTAGACTGCTTTCTTAAAATGTATAAAAGTTATAAAAAACGGCAATTGGCAATATTTGTTTATAACAGTTTATAATATTACTGTTGCAACTTTTAAGGCGTTTGTGAAGCTTCAGGAACATTTTGAATTAACAGTGTCGAGCGCTTTCTTTTGTTTTCTCATAAACTGAAAGGCACACATTTGATAAAATAAAATCGCTCTATAAAACATATTTACAGTCAAAGATAAGAGGCACCAGCGGCTCCTGAGATCGAGATGGTAAGATTAGACGCAGCAGCAGCTCTAACATCTAGAAATGCTTCATCATTCTTAAACTAAAAACACTGAAGGTGGATTATTCGCTCTGAATCTGAACTTGTCTTTGAACCCCAAGGCCTTAAATGTTAAGCAATACAAATAAACCATAATCTGTTGAGAACAAAAACCAGCTTCATTCGCACAGATTAAGGCTGCCATTGAGACATTTGAAGGTTTTTGGAACGGTTAAAGACTCAACAACTTTCTGTTCCTATTGTTTTGTCTTGAGTTTGACTTTCTGTACGGAAGCTCAGCAGGTCCAAACTTTGTTGGTGAAAGCTTGTTTTCAGCAGACGTTGAAAAGTGCAGTAACAGTTTTTATCAACATCAGAAACTGGTGTAGATATTCTCAGTGAAATGCTTAGTTATCAGTTGTATGGAAACAAACGTTTTATTTCTTTATGTATGTATGTGGAGGCGTGTGGCGCAGTGGACTAGTGCGTTGGTGTTCGGATCAAGGGGGGGGCACAGGTTCAAACCCCACTGCAGTCAGCATGTCGTTGTGTCCCTGAGACACTTCACCCCAAATTGCTCCTGTGGGGATTGTCCACAGTATTGAGTATGCAAGTCGCTTTGGATAAAAGCGTCTAACAAGTAACATGTCATGTAATGATGTAATGTACAAGAAGGTTTCAGCAGCTAATTCCACTCCAAGTGTCTCTAAGAGAGGTTTGCTCCAGATGTGGTGGTTGCTTCATTCCTCTTTGCATATGTAGGATTTTCCAGCTTGGATAAACTTTGAAATGTCTTTTTAAACTCAACTCCATGTTTTCATTCAGTCTGTGGATCCTCACTGAGTCTTATGTCATGTTCAACGGTTTAATCTTCCATTAAAAAACACTTTTGCTGTAGAAGTGATCAACGTCGGAAGTGTTCATCCTGAGGAAGCCATAAATGTGAGTGCAACATGTCATTTAAACCCATCAGTGTACACTTTTATTGAATATAATAACCTTGGCTAAGGGGAAGGAAAGGGATGTGACGTAGAGGCTCCATGAGGCGTGAAATAATACATCCGTGCTCCATTTGTAGTATTGTTCTGTTCGGTCATAATGAAATAAAAAAAGGAATCAAACGTAGAGAAGATGGTGGAGGATGGAGGGATGCTCCATGATGTATTTTTTGGTGGTGACTTTTTGGCAGTGGCGAGCCGTGACTTTTATACCTAGGCCCTCTGACACCCCCCCCCCCCCTTCCCTCAAAAAATAAAAAAAATAGTTATTACGTCACAGCGTATACTTCAGCGGAATATCAAAACAACGGCCCAGGGTGCAAAACGCATCAATGACAGCGACCCTCTACCACACAAAACAACACCTGTGAACCCCATTTGTGTTCTTTGACATTGAAAATGATATTGCATTGTGTTTGTTACTTTCGTTGCAGTTGCATGTCTTAAGTGTAATTTGGCATGCTTTTATTTTGAAGGCGAGTTCACGCTGTTGACAGGAAGTTGTTGTTGCTATGGAAACAAGAACAGTTTCACAGCAGGCGGAACTTGTCATAAAGTCCGCGATAATAAAACCCACCCATTTAGAGGGAAGATATGATTGGTCAATTGTACTGTCATTTGACATTTCTCTCTCGTTCAGTTACTATAGCGACCCTCTGTGAGTTCACAGCAGGACCAATCAGCTCCTATCTTCACAGTAACTCGCAGAGACGAGCTTCTTTCATTTAACCCTTCACATTCAAACAGAAACTGAATAGGCAGATTCGAAGGATTTATTTCTTTGGAAATGTTATTTTAAATACAATTAAATCAAGTTATTTTGGTAAAACTAATGAAAAATATAACTAAAAAAACGATTTAAAAATAATATATTAAAATATATTAATATATATTAAATATTATTTTGTAGAATATCTAGAGGGCCCTGACGGCTCGCCACTGCTTTTTGGTTTATTCTAGAAGTTGGTATTCCATGATCTGCTGTTATTTGAGTCAAACTTCGGTCACACCTCAAGGAAGTGACTTGGAGCTCAAAAAAGAAGTTGGTTTTCAATGATATGTAGTCAAACTATTTGCTGAAGGTCTAGACCCGGCAGACATTTAAAAACAATGTTCCTGCGAGTATCCTGAAGATCAGAGAGATGGTTCTTCTCGAATTAATACAAGTAAAGACTCATCAGTGGCTGAGTCAAACCTTGGTCACACATCCGGTCGAAACATTTGAGAATGTAGATTTGATGTTAATGGAAAAAGGATTCTCCATTTTGGTTTATTCCAGAAGTTGGTATTCCATGATCTGCTGTTTGTTGAGTCAAACTTCGGTCACACCTCAGGTCAAAAACTTTAGGTGGGTTCACCTTTTTTGGTTTATTCCAGAAGTTGGTTTTCAAAACTATTCAAGTCAAACTATTTGCTGAAGGTCTTGAGCCTGGCAGACATTATAAAACAATGTTCCTGCGAGTATCCTGGGGATCAGAGAGATGGTTTCTTATCTAGTGAATGAAAGTAAAGACTCCTCAGTGGCTGAGCAGCCGGAGGCGAGCCAGCCAGCCTCCCAGCAGCGAGGTGGGCTTGGTGTTGGACATCGGAGGAGGGGAAGCAGCAGCAGCAGATGATGATGGGGGGGCGGAGGGCTTCTTGGACACCCCCTCCTGGTAGGGGATGGTGGAGGAGTTGTGCAGGTTGGCGTTGATGAAGCACTGGCTGCCTCGGATGTGGTCGACGCCGCGGACAGACGGGTGTCCTCGGTACGGCAGCGGGAAGCACGGCTCCTCCTCTGGGATGGAGCTGATCCCCTCGTTACTCAGGTACCGGTGCAGCACCTCCTTGTGACCTGTGGGGGGGGGGGAGAGGGGGATGATGAGGGATACAAGTCTGGAGAAAACGTTCCTTTTTGTGTGAGTGTCTCTAATGGGAAAGATAGCCTACTGCAAGAGGCTTCAGGAAATAACATTTAAATGTTTTGCCCCGTTATGTTTATTGGTGTAATGTATTTAAACTGTTTCACAATGTGATCATAAATACAGTTTAAAAAATAAATAATATGTCTGTTTGTTTAGACATCATGTTACTAAAAGCAGACCGACATCATTTATTTGAAGTCATGTGTAAATGACTCATAGACATGTTACAGCTGCCGGCAGTTGAGTTAATTTTATTGTTAGCGGCTGTTTGAGCATCGTTCGAAAAAACTGTTAATATGTCTTTGTTTAACCGCTCTGACTTCCATTAGCAGCCTGATATCACGCACGCACGCACGCACAGTTCCTGAAGGTGAATTTGCTGAGGTTAATAATCTACGAGGGAAAAATCTGAGGCACGCAGCGGCAGTTTGTCCCGGCTGTTAATGAGACAGACAGGCGACACGTTACTGATAACGCTCAGATTACAGATTACAGGTGAGGCTCACCTTTCCTCCCCACAGGCCGGCAGGACGGCACTCCTGAGGACGACTCCACCGGCATGGAGACCGGACGAGGTTTACCTGTAGGAGCAGACACAACAAGTTTATATATGGTTAAAAACTAAGATATGTTTTAAAACTGGTGCCTGTTGTGTTCAGATGAATGCTCGATTTTGTGTGCGTGCGTGTGTGTGTGTGTGTGTGTGTGTGTGTGTGTGTGTGTGTGTGTGTGTGTGTGTGTGGTGTGTGTGTGTGTGTGTGTGTGTGTGTGTGTGTGTGTGTGTGTGTGTGTGTGTGTGGTGTGTGTGTGTGTGTGTGTGTGTGTGTGTGTGTGTGTGTGTGTGTGTGTGTGTGTGTGTGTGTGTGTGTGTGTGTGTGTGTGTGTGTGTGTGCTCACAGCGTGCAGATGATCTCTGTCTGAGGCTCACAGGGATTGGTTGGTTGTGTTCCGGCGGGCTGACAGGAGTCCTGTTATCTTCGGCGAACGTGAAGCGTCGCCTCACGTCTGCGTCCAGACACGAGTTGGGAGACTTCGGCCTCATTTTGACTCCCGAAGTCACGTTCATGTTCCCGTCTCTAACGAGGGAATCAGAGCGATTAACACTCACTTTATAACACCTGAACTTTAGTAAGAACATCCATATTATTAATAATGTTCTATGATAACGTGCAATTACGTATCTGCCACTGCGTTCTTTTGCACTACTAAATACTGTTAATATTTATGTTCATTATGTCACCCTCTGTTTCCTGCAGATATTTAATTGCTCTTTTTGCTGCACTGTTAGTGTACAGTTTCATTATTATGCTGCTGTTTATTCTATTTTTGTAACTCTGGCACAACAAAAATAAATAAAATAAATAAAATAAATAAATAAAATAAATAAAATAAATAAAATAAATAAAATAAATAAAATAAATAAAATAAATAAAATAAATAAATAATAAATAAATAAAGGCTTATCTTATCATAACATTCATCTGTCTGCAACTTACACATTATTTATCTAATATATCATATTCCAATTACTTGTATAGACTCTCCTTGCATTATTTCTATTTTCTTTTATTTGTATTTACTTGCACTATTGTATCTGTTTTATTGTGTTGCTCTGTTGGAGGAGTCTGTGACCTCAGATTTTCATTCACATATCTACTCTGTAGCTACGTACGCATGACAATAAACGCCTTGAATCTTGAAAAAATACGTTGAAGCTTCTGAAGTTTTGATAGTGGCCAAACGGTGGTACTACAACTCCTGTGTCAGTCCGTGACATCACTGGGCCCACAAATACTTCTTCCCATTGACTTACATTGGGAAAGAGACTGAGTACTTCTCCCACCTCTGGATAATACATATGGAAAAACACAGGAACAAACTCTATGAAATATAGTATATATATATATATATATATATTCACATAACTACACTGTAGCTATGTACGAATGACAATAAAAGCCTTGAAATCTTGAATAACGTGGATTATGATTCTGTGAGGTGTGTGTACTCAGTGTGTTTCTCACATTGGTGTGTAAGGCGCTGCAGGAGGAGGAGGGACGTACGTTTCAGGCTGTCGAGACCTGGAAAGACCCGGAGCTCCTTGAGAGGTCTGCAAACAAGAGAAACAGAAATATTAAAAGGTCCCCTATTATTCTGTTTTTCATCAATATATCACAGGTCTCAGATATATACAGAGCCTGTCTCTGATTGGCTGAAACACCAAACAGATCATTGCAGCATCCCATAATCCCCTCTGTTTCAGCCCTGTTTCCAAAGTGCTGATTCTCTGTCTGTTACTTTAGATGAAAATAAGGAGCCCCTCCCCACGCCCCTCTGAGAGAGATTTGGTTCAAAAGAACTCAATGGTGCTCTAGGAGGAGATTCAGGTGATAAGGGGGGGGGTTACCTTGGTTGCTGATTGGCTAATGGTTACACAAGACAAAACATCGTGATGACATCATAAAGTGGCCAAAATCTGATCAGCTCATTTTCAGACAGGTTTTTATAGAAATGGATCAAAAAGAGAGAGAATCTTTGTTCCTGAAACTTTCAGAGTCTCTTTACACAGAGGGGACACATGTTGATGAAGAAGAGACATGAAGAAGAGGGGACACATGCTGATGTAGAAGAGACATGAAGAAGAGGGGACACATGTTGATGTAGAAGAGACATGAAGAAGAGGGGACACATGTTGATGAAGAAGAGACATGAAGAAGAGGGGACACATGTTGATGTAGAAGAGACATGAAGAAGAGGGGACACATGTTGATGTAGAAGAGACATGAAGAAGAGGGGACACATGTTGATGAAGAAGAGACATGAAGAAGAGGGGACACATGTTGATGAAGAAGAGACATGAAGAAGAGGGGACACATGTTGATGTAGAAGAGACATGAAAAAGAGGGGACACATGCTGATGTAGAAGAGACATGAAGAAGAGGGGACACATGTTGATGTAGAGGAGACATGAAGAAGAGGGGACACATGTTGATGTAGAAGAGACATGAAGAAGAGGGGACACATGTTGATGTAGAAGAGACATGAAGAAGAGGGGACACATGTTGATGTAGAAGAGACATGAAGAAGAGGGGACACATGTTGATGTAGAAGAGACATGAAGAAGAGGGGACACATGTTGATGTAGAAGAGACATGAAGAAGAGGGGACACATGTTGATGTAGAAGAGACATGAAGAAGAGGGGACACATGTTGATGTAGAAGAGACATGAAGAAGAGGGGACACGTGTTGATGTAGAAGAGACATGAAGAAGAGGGGACACATGTTGATGTAGAAGAGACATGAAGAAGAGGGGACACGTGTTGATGTAGAAGAGACATGAAGAAGAGGGGACACGTGTTGATGTAGAAGAGACATGAAGAAGAGGGGACACATGTTGATGTAGAAGAGACATGAAGAAGAGGGGACACATGTTGATGTAGAGGAGACATGAAGAAGAGGGGACACATGTTGATGTAGAAGAGACATGAAGAAGAGGGGACACATGTTGATGAAGAAGAGACATGAAGAAGAGGGGACACATGTTGATGTTGAAGAGACATGAAGAAGAGGGGACACATGTTGATGTAGAAGAGACATGAAGAAGAGGGGACACATGTTGATGTAGAAGAGACATGAGGAAGAGGGGACACATGTTGATGTAGAAGAGACATGAAGAAGAGGGGACACATGTTGATGTAGAAGAGACATGAAGAAGAGGGGACACATGTTGATGTAGAAGAGACATGAGGAAGAGGGGACACATGTTGATGTAGAAGAGACATGAGGAAGAGGGGACACATGTTGATGTTGAGGAGACATGAAGAAGAGGGGACACATGTTGATGTAGAAGAGACATGAAGAAGAGGGGACACATGTTGATGTAGAGGAGTCATGAAGAAGAGGGGACACATGTTGATGTAGAAGAGACATGAAGAAGAGGGGACACATGTTGATGAAGAAGAGACATGAAGAAGAGGGGACACATGTTGATGTAGAAGAGACATGAAGAAGAGGGGACACATGGTGATGTAGAAGAGACATGAAGAAGAGGGGACACATGTTGATGAATATGGACACGGAGCTTTAACCAGAGTTTCTGTGGAGCTTTTTAACAGGGTTTCCGTCACACAGCAGAGGTAATGATTGATTTATGGGTGTTTATCATAAAACAACAGTAAGACGCTCCAGCAGGAGACAAGAAACCGCAGACGAAGCTCTTTCGTTTCCTTCCTCGCCTCTAAAAGATTCTGTATTTTTATAAACACAGGAACTTCACTCAGCTCCTTTTCTGCTTCCTCTGAAGTCCCCTAGAGTCCTGAGAACACGTCTGAAGGAGTTAAAGATGCAGAGAGGAACGAGTTCTGCTGATTTAAGATCCGTGCTGATCACCATGAACAGACTGTGGTTTGTTTTGACAACGTCCTGCTGTTACAAACACTCACAGAAGCTCCAAAGTCCGGCAGTGGCTCACTCAGTAGGGGCTTGCCTGACTGGCCATCGTGATCGGGCTCTTTGAAGATCCACAAATCCACGGTTTTCTTACATTTCTAATCGGATTGGCAAAAACTTCAGAATTTGTATCGACCGCCAATCAACTGTTTTCCCCCAAAAGTGGGCGGGGCCGTCATTTTCGCCCGGAAGTGACGTAGGTGTTACTCCCACTTTTAAAAATGATTCAACAGTGAAAAACACGATAATGTACTTTACATAAAAAGGTGGTGAGGGGGTTGAGTATAAGTACGGGGAGAAGTACTGCAAGCGTTGATTCAAGATGACTTCTGTCCTGAATGCTGTGAGGGACAGTGAGGTAAAGACAGACTGACTTCAGGTCTGTTTTGAAAGCGCAGATTAGAAACAGTGGAGAGGAATCTCAGACTCCTATCTTCCCTAAACACACACATCCTGGACTCCTGTCAACACGAAGCCCTGAAGGCCTCCCGCTGGATTCAGAATCGTCACGTTGAGTGAGTCACCTTTCAAAGATGTCTGACACGACGTTCGGACTGTTTCCTGTCTGTTATTATTTCCAGGAAAAGGGAAGAAGGGATGCATTGTTCCCACACACCTCAGTGGCTGCTGTGTTTAACGCTCGCTCACAAACAGAAAAGCTTCGATGACAGCAGGAGAAAGCAGCAGAGAGGAGCTTTATTTACCCAGAAGTCACCACGGCCAACAGCTGCTGGTTGTTTTTGTTTATTTCCTCAGTAAAACACTCTGCAGGGGATTTTTTAAGCTGCTTTAATAATATTGTGGTCACTTTGGGGGGCAGATCTTCACAACAAGCGATCCATCACACTCAGGTTAGGCATACAGCTGCCTTCATACAGAGCCAGCAGACACAGAGCAATATAAGCATTCATTATCTGTGTCCAGTGTTTTATTCTTTCACTGTATTCTCTTGTACTGCTGCCATTTCTTTCTATAATAGGCATTTTTTGGGATTCAGATGAATATAAAGAGGTCACAGCCCAAGTTCTGGTGATTGTGTTTGGATAGAATATAACAATGAATGAATAAATGAATACATTAATTAATAAATAAAGAGAGAAAGAAAGGAACAAAGACGTACAGGTTGCATGTCTGTCTGTGTGGTGCATTCAAGTGCAGCTGAGAAACTGACTTATTGATAAACAAATGGACATTTTAGGTCCTTACTGACACACTACAGCAGCGGTTCCAAATCTTTTTGAACTCAGGTCCCACTTAAAAACCCACATAAACAATAAGGAGGCTAAATAAAGTTCTGGCCATCAGTAACAAACAGACATGAGAAACTAAAAAGTGAGGGGCTGTCTGCAATAGGCAAATTAATAATTAATTAATAATAGCTATCCATTTTTTCACAGTTCAGTTGAATACTTGATTCTGATTGGTCAATTCAGAACATGTGACACGTTGTTAATCCAGTAGTACAGACCGCTGTCAAGGTCTGTAATGACCGTTGCTAAGGACTGTAATGACCGTTGCTAAGGACTGTAATGACCATTGCTAAGGTCTGTAATGACCGTTGCTAAGGACTGTAATGACCATTGCTAAGGTCTGTAATGACCGTTGCTAAGGTCTGTAATGACCGTTGCTAAGGACTGTAATGACCGTTGTTAAGGAGGATCAAGAAAGAAATCTTAATAATGAAATGTTTCCACACAAATCATAATGTTTTGCAAATGATTTGATGGCCCACTAGGGGGGGAACCGCTGCACTCCAAAACCACAGACCTACCTTCTGCTGTTGGTACTTCTATTTTTTTTTTTTTTAAAGCACCGCGGGGGCTCACCTGTACGAGCGGCGGCCTCCAGCGCAGGTTTTTCAGTGGAGCGGGGGCGAAACCTCCCGATGACCCTGAAGGCCTCTTCTTCAGCAGCAGCACCACGCCTGACTCCGCCCTTAAAGCCTCCACCAGCGGCTTCAGCTGCCAGCCCACCTGGAGAGAGACGGTACAAGTACACACATCGAGTAGAAGTACAGATACTCGTGTTTAAAAATACTCTGGTGAAAGTAGAAGGACTGACTAAACATCTTAGTAAAAGTAAAGAAGTATGGGCTTTGAAATGTACTTAAAGGTAGGGTAGGTAAGAATGGAGAAACCAGCTCGAGTGCGCTAGAATTTGAAAGTACACAGCCGGAAAAAATCTGCCCCTTCCTTCAGACTTCCTTGCAGAGCCCCTCCTCCAACACACACGAACGCGCACATGACCAATGAGGGCACGAGACAAGTTTGTGCACAGATGGAAGGCTGACAGGCAGGTAGGCCATCCAGTTATTTCAGCCGGGCCGGCTCAGATGATTGGTCGTGCTTTTTACAGCGCCACGGCTTCCACAGATGACATTTTTGTATGTATTTATTGTCAAAGCATTTAATGTATTCACTGCTATCGGGATGTTAAGAGCATTCCATGGAATATAACAACAAGTGTTTCTGAAGTGAATTATCTACCCTACCTTTAGGTAAAAAGTACCCATAACTAGCATCTGTTTTAAAGAGTACCTGACCTCCCTTTATATTAATAGAACAATAATGTCATTGTTAGCTAATGAATGTTTCCATGCTGAACAACGGCAACATGACAACGTTTTCATTGGTCCCTCTTCTTTAGAGAAGACCAGGAAATGATGGATACACGGATCGTGTTCAAATCAATAGGCACGCAATGACTCTAAATAATAATGATCACGCCACCAAACACACATTCAAACTAAAGGAACCAGCCTGTTTGGGAAATGTGAGAAGTAGAAAGTACAGGTATTTGTGTTCAACATGTAAGAAGTAGAAAGTACAGGTATTTGGGTTCAACATGTAAGAAGTAGAAAGTACAGGTATTTGGGTTCAACATGTAAGAAGTAGAAAGTACAGGTATTTGGGTTCAACATGTAAGAAGTAGAAAGTACAGGTATTTGAGTTCAACATGTGAGAAGTAGAAAGTACAGGTATTTGGGTTCAAAATGTAAGAAGTAGAAAGTACAGGTATTTGTGTTCAAAATGTAAGAAGTAGAAAGTACAGGTATTTGAGTTCAAAATGTAAGAAGTAGAAAGTACAGGTATTTGAGTTCAAAATGTAAGAAGTAGAAAGTACAGGTATTTGTGTTCAAAATGTAAGAAGTAGAAAGTACAGGTATTTGGGTTCAAAATGTAAGAAGTAGAAAGTACAGGTATTTGGGTTCAAAATGTAAGAAGTCAAAGTAAAAAGTCGTCAGAAAAATAAGTAGTGGAGTAAAGTACTGATACCAGAAAAATGTACTTGAGTACAGGAACGAAGTATTTGTACTCCACTACTTCCCACCTCTGCACCTGGACCAATCACAGAGCTGAACACTGAGCTGCACTGAACACTTACAACTTTAAATGTATTTCTTAAAGTCCTGTATGGTCACAAAATGTTTTTATCGATCAAAATGAAATATTACATATAAAGGATAAGGCGATTATTTGCTTTCTTAATAGCTGTCAAAAGGTTAAGAAATTCTTACTCTCACTTGTTCACCTCTTAGAAAAACTGAAGTTGCCAATTAAGGAATAAGCATATTTAAAGAGGGGGTTTGTTTTGATGGAAAAGTGACTTAAATTTATGTTTGTTTTCGACAATATATTAAAAAGAATCACTGTTCAAATGAGACACAGACAACAAAGCACACAGTCAGAATCAAAAGGAAAAACGTCTTAAAATGTCATCCTCATAATTATATCTTATTAGACATTTGTGTGATGTTTGCACTTGGAAATTGAGTTATTTCTAAGTGTCCTTTGACCACCAAAGTCTAATTCAGGGGTGTCAAACTCAAGGCCCGGGACTTCATTTTCTGTGGCCCCACAAGAGCTCTGAAAGAATATAATATGTTTATTATACGGTTACATGCCGCTTTACAGAAGCACGTTGTCCATAAACTACATGTCCCACAATGCATCTCAAATTTGACTTTTTTTCCAGAATTTGGCTTTTCTTTTAAAATCATTTTGTGACATTTTGGCCATTTCTCAATGTCGAGTAAAGCTGCTCCAGAGCCACTATTACAAGCATACTACGTCATCGAGTCCCGCCGAAGAAGTGTTCCAATCTCCAGCATACTTGGAAATCTACCGAGCCCGGCGTACTTCGTAGCGAGAAATTTCGAGGCTGCACATGAGTAGACTCCGCCGTCTTAAAATCCCCACAATGCTTTGCGCACGGACCAATTTCCCCAAATCTGTGACGGAAGATGTAAGGCGAGGCCTCTCATATGACGCACACCTGCACACTTGCTAGCCTGTTCCACTCTTCGTTTTCCGAATGCCAGGAAGTATTCTTGCCTCGCTTCTGAAGCAAGACGCTCGGGAGACATGTGCTACCAAGCAAGCGTACTCAAGCTTGAGAAACACCCTCCCACCGAAGAGACTTGCAATTATTTGCCCTAGACTTCTGCTTTCAGACGTAGTTAATTATGAAGTTATTACCCTATCCGATAATAATCCAATGCAGAGGCAATAAAGTAAAATAATACATCATTTTATATATATGATATATTTATATAGTCTTACAGTTACAACCGGCCCTTTGAGTGCAACCATCATTTCAATGTGGCCCGCGAATGAAATTGAGTTTGACACCCCTGGTCTAATTGGACAATGAGTCCAAGACGACAATGGAGCCAAATATGATATAATAATTTCCAGTTATTCTTGAGATATCACAAAAATAGGACAGACATACGGTTAATACTACAGTCAGAAAGGTATCAGAGTGAAGATAGGATCAGTAATAATGTTAATTATAACATAACTGAAGGAGTTTTGCCTCACCACTGTCTGTCTGTTGACCTGAACCACTTCATCTCCAGCATGAATCCTCTGAGTCTTATCTGCAGGAGACTGAGAGGCAGAATCACAGTTATCCTCTCGTTAGAAGGTAAATTAAAGAGATGAAATGTCATTATAAAGGTCTCCTCTCTCACGTTCTCTGTAGTTCCTGTGATGACGTGCAGCCCGTCGTACGTGGACTTGATGTAGATACCCTGAAAGAGAATGTAAATGTGAATCTTGTCCATAAATAGCTCCCCGTGGTTTCTCTCGATTCCTCCCTGCAGTGGTGGTTTCTCTTCTTGGATCTACATCTGGATCTGTTTTGGACTCGGTGCTGATTGTGGTTCACGGTGCAGCTCTAAAGGACCTGTTAGCGTTTTCTCGGAGGAAGTTGGGGTTAAACTGTGGGATTTCTCTTTACAGTGGCTGGCGTGTAACTCTGGCTGTGAATAAAGAAGTCTGCACTGTCTGTCTTTTGATGTATTGCTCACCAGTCCCTCCCCAGGCTTGACGTTGGGGATGTGAACCTCCTCCAGGCAGGACTGATCGCTCTTCGAGGGGTCAGAGGTCGCCTGAGCCGTCTTCTCACAGACGCCGTTCAGAGCGCGAGACTGAAACACACGATAGAAAAATAAAAACAAACCGTTTAATTCACAAAATAAAATGTAGTTACACACAGAGCTGAGAGGATTGGATGATCCATAGAACAGATGATCATCATTAAGGACAGACATGGGGTCCCTTTATTACTAACTGCATGTCGTTATAGCTATATGGAGATATAAGATTGTTCCAGATACTTAAATTAATACATATTATTAACAACAGTATTATATAAAATATGCCATTTTTCTTGGTCCTCTGTTAATTTAATACTTGTTTGTTTTAGCAACACACTTTCTTGCTATGTTTTTAAATATTTAATTGATTATTTGCTGCACTAAAGTATGTAATATGACATTATCTGAATACAAAAAAAAAAACAACAGACATGAAATTGTACATATTATTATATTAGTAGAATATTTGTTACATATTACATTACATGTCACGTGTTAGACGCTTTTATCCAAAGTGACTTACATACTCAATACTGTGGACAATTTGGGGTCTCAGGGACACAACGACATGCTGACTGCAGTGGGGTTTGAACCTGTGCTCCCTTGATCCGAATACCAACGCTCTATCCACTGCGCCACACGCCTCCGTTATATGTTTAATGTAATCTCATTATATATTGCAATACTTAGCATTTAACTGGATCCTCATTGTGGTGGGAAAATACATTTCTTCCAATGAAAATATGATGTTTTATCATCCGTTAATTTTCACTTCTCATTTTACAGGATCTCTTCCCACTAAGCAAGTTTCACATCCTCAGGAAGACATTGAACACTCTTTAAAAAGTGTAATACCACACTTTTTAAAAGTTAAACCACACGGATGCGTTTCTATTTCCTGTGATGGCGAGCATCTGTTATAAAATGCTGAATCACAACCTGCTGTGGCGCTACAGCCGTCTGTCCCTGACCTCTCCGTGGAATACGGAACCGTGACTACTGAACCCTCGAGTCAGAGCGGCGTCACTTAAATAATGCAGCATTTACTTATTGTGTATTTCCAAGGAAAGAACATACACATTTCCAAAAGAAAAACTCAAATATTCTCAGAAATTAAAGTTTTAAATGTAAGGGAAAAAACTCAAATATATTCTTTGTGATTAAAGTGATACATTTATGAAAGAAAAAAGCATTTCTGATATTAAAGCAGTAAAATGACAAGAAAACTATAATATTCTCTGAGATTAAAGGTCACCTATCATGCTATTTATAGGCAATAGCATAGGTCTCAGATATAAAAATATATAAAAAACATGTCTATGAAGTGTTTTGCTCCAAATACCAAACAGATCACCCATTCTAGCCATGCCTCATATCCCTCTATTTCACTTCCTGTTTGAAAAGTGATGATTTGGGGTATAAAGTTTAAATTAAAAAAGGAGGGGTCTGAGCTCATGCGGGACCCGGCAGCTACTGTCTAAAGTAAATTCTGCCGTGATGAAACGCCATATCATGGATTATCAAGGATTCTTTCTGAAACAGTATGGAGCTCAAAGGCTTTCTCTCTTGCCGGTTATACCACAAGGTGAGTTCCTTTTTATTTCCTGCTTCTTCACACATGCTCTCCAGTACAGGTTAGCTCTGAGTGTTAGCGATGCTAATGTAAACACCGACCATATTACATCCAAAACAGTCGGGCATTGTTTCTGATAGCAACGTTTCTGATAGGGCCGTGGGTCCACATTTCAGATATTACGTCATATCGGACGCTAATCTGGATCAGCTCCGTTGTTCCCCCGTTTTTAGAGATTTGGGTACGGAGGAAAAGAGAGAGGGTTTTATTTTCTGACGCTGCGTGAGTTCCCTGACACACCGGGGACACATGTTTATGTATAAAACACATCAAAAAGTGCATTTTGCATGATAGGTCCCCTTTAAAGCATTATATTTACAAGACAAAAACTCACTTATTCCCGAGGTCATGGGAAACATTGAGGTGATGAAGAAAACAAAAACCTGCAGGAAATTACAAGTAAACCAAAACAACATGCCCCCCCCCCCCCCCCAGGAGGGCTCCGTCACGCTGTCTTTGAACATGTTGGTGAGTTCAGCTGCTTGTTTATAAGTTACTGGGCATGTAACGGACAAACATGTAAAACTACATGTTTTTTGAACGTTTTTAACCACACTGAGGGGGGGGGGGGGGGGGGGGTTGTTTTGTTCACAGGCTTTTTATCTAGCTTTGCAGTGTTTCCCTATCTGTCACCTGGACAAACAACGTGAACAAAAGCCCTTCACTGAGCCTCTGTATGTGTGTCTGCTGAAAGAGCCTGTAATGCTGTTAGTGGTGGGAGAAGTATTCAGATCATTTACTGCAGGAAAAGCACTTTTAAGACGCTGTGAAAAAACTCCAGTAACATTAAAAGTCCTGCATTCTTAACCTGTGAGCCTGTTTTTCAGGTCTCAGGCTCGAAAAGGACATTCCCAGAACAAATGACCATATCTTCTTTTTATATTTTTTCTCAAAGTAATGATAAACCTGTGAGTTGGATGTAGAAAAGTCAGAATCAATATAGATGTTTTTTATTTTAAAGAAAATTCAGATTTTACATAGTAAAAAACTGTAAATTATAGTGTCCGTCCAACATTTTTTTTTTACTTATAGTGAACACTACCCTTGGATGATGGGTTAGTAGACTAAAAGCTTTAGGAATCCAAAGTACAACATATATGAAGTACCCTTTATCAAGATTGATGCAAAACAAGTGACATTTGACCTTCTTAGAGAGATTTAGCCAAAAAAACTCCACCTCTGAGGTGATTTGGGTGGAAATGTTTTTTTCCCCCCCATATCTCTGGCCCCCCTTGGTCGATTTTGATGGTTGACACCTCTTTCTGACCGTTAGAGCCAATAGAATCGAAGGGGGGGTCCCCCACACACACACGTTGTAAAACAAGAAGGTGGGGGCTTTGCGCATGTAGTTTTGCATCAGAGTGAAGCTATTTCTCGCTCTGACATCTAGAAACGGAAAAGCAGTCTTATTGCTCATGGATTATCAGAAATCATTTCAAAGGGACACAGACACATTGGATTAACCTATGGATTAACTTCAGCAGCGTTTTTCTCGTTTTAATGCCATTGAAGACCACTTTTGAGCAGACTACAGAGACAAGGTAAACATGTTAGCATTTTTAGCTACCTAGCGCCACATGTTTTGATGTCTGTTTTTGTTTATAACGTCGCGATTTCGTATAATTGAGTGATAATGAGGGTACCCTTCGATTCTGTGTCACCTCACAATGTGAATCGATGTCATGGATGTGCAGAAAAGATAAATAATAAGGTTTTGTGAGTGAATTTCAGTGCAGTAATCTGTTAGCATTTTTCGCTCGCTGCTAATTCAGAGGCTCAGTGTTAGCATTGTGGGTTTTCTTTTTGAAAAAAAAAAAAAAATGATCAGTTAGATGAGTTTCTTCCCGTTACATGAATATAAAACATTCATAGTTTATTAAATGCCCTCAAACACTGTTTCCTGCAAGATGTTGCGGCAGTTCCCCGGTACCGGGGTCTCTCGGGCTTAACAGGTTAAAGTGGACCTATCATGCTATATGTAAATGATATATTGTAGGGCCATACCTATATAAGGTATATTTATACGTTTCTGTTTTCAAAATACCAAACAGATCATGCATTTTAGCCATGCCTCATTTCGCTCTATGTGCTGTTTGCTGTCTACGGGTCTGATTCTGCTGACCACGCCCCCCTGCAGGAGAGGGGAGACGTGCTCTGATCAGCTGCTGGGCTGTCAGAAGAGGGGGAGAAAAAGAGATCTCCGTCCTCCGTGTTTTATTATATAGAGTCGTTATTCATTTGTTTTAAAGCTCAATAAATAACAAAGAAGACCTTTGACCGGCACTTTTCTAATTTTGTCCGGAAGATTTCAACTTTAACGGACATCTTGACCGGCGAAACAAACTGAAACTGAAACTCTGCTGCACGGTCCCCTCGTTCCTTGGAAGAGGCGGAGAGGTGGGTGTTTGTCATCTGCTGGTGGACTAACCGGAGAGAATTACTGTGCTTGCCTCGACGGGGAGGGATTGCATTGAATTAAAGCAGCGGGAGCAAACGCTTGCCTCGGGGAGGGAGAAAGAAAGCCACAGCGGAGAATAAACAGAAGGGTAACCATGGTAACATTGGGGGGAAGTCTTCTTCGCTGCTTTTGTGGCAGACTACAGCGCCACTTACAGGCCTGGCATATCCATATCGGCCTTTTTCCACCTGAGGAACATTGCCAGACTCCGACCGTCACTCTCGGAGTCGGTTGCTGAAACCCTCGTGCATGCATTTGTCACCACTCGCTTGGACTACTGCAATGGTGTCCTGTTCGGGGTTCCCAAAAAAACCCTGGACAGGCTCCAGTATGTCCAAAACTGTGCTGCCAGGGTACTCACGCACACAAAGCCGTGGCAGCACATCACTCCCACCCTCATCCACCTACACTGGTTGCCGGTCAAGTCCCGTATATCATACAAAATCCTCCTCCTCACCTACAAGTCCCTCCATGCCCTTGCCCCCCAGTACCTATCGGACATCCTTCACCCACATGCCCCACCCCGGAACCTGCGGTCCTCAGACTCTGGCCTGCTTACCACCCCCCGCACCAAACTGCGAACCTTCGGGGACAGAGCCTACAGTGTGGCAGCCCCCACCCTCTGGAACGCTCTCCCTGCGGAGATTCGCAACATCCCCACACTAGACGCCTTCAAAAGGGCCCTCAAGACCCATCTGTCTGCAAAGGCTTTCGGCCCCTAATCGATCTGTTGTTTTGTCTGTCCAACTTTTGTTTTGTTATGTTTGTTTTTTTCCTATACTAGTTGTAAAGCGACCTTGGGTCCCTTGAAAGGCGCTATATAAAATAAATCTATTATTATTATTATTATTATATGTACTACAGCGTCTCCAGCGCTTTCGAACGGCAATGGCCGTGGCTGTCTCCTCCTGATTGGTGGAGTTGGCCCAATAGCCGTAGCGCCACTGTCCTGACGTCAGGACAGTGTTCAAATCTGGATCAGTTTTTATCAGATCCGTTGCAGCCCCTTTTTTAGAGATTTGGGTATGGAGGAAAATAGAGAGGGTTGTGTTTTCTGACACTTGGTGAGTTCCCTGGAACACCGGGGACACATATTCATGTAGAAAAGACGTACAAAAGTGCATTTTGCATGATAGGTCCCCTTTAAGTAAAGTATGTATGAGCGAAACGTAACAAATGTTAAAGTATTGACTGTGCAGTAAACTGTTCCTTATTTAAAGTTCCCGATCTTGTAGACTGGTTTATCTTTTTTCATATATTCCACTAAGGATTAGATTACCATTTGTTATACTGATGAAGAATTAATGGTACCACTTTACAATAAGACTACCCTTACAAAGGATTCATAAAAGGGTTTCTAATTAGGTTATGAATTAAGTTGTAAACACTTTATTAATCATTAAGAACCATTTATAAACCAGTTCTAACATAGTTTTCATACATCAACACAGCACACTATTTGGCAAGATGACTAAGCCGTAGTGGTACCGAATTAATTCCGTTTTTTTCCCTTTTTGTGTCAGTAAACTCAGTAACTCTGTGATGTGATATGTATATGATATGAATGACAAAGGTTGTATGTGATGTTGTTAAATTAAATAAAAAAATAAAAATACATATATAAATAAATATAATTGTAAACTTGTTTTTTGTCCTATTTTTAACTATTTTAGATACTGTTTGCAGATTAATCTACGGCAGGGGTGTCAAACTCAATTTCATCACGGGCCAAATTCGCATAAAGGTTGCACTCAAAGGGCCGGTTATAACTATATAAATATATAATATATATATAAAATAATGTATTATATTACATTATTGCCTCTGAATTGGATTATTATCGGATAGGGTAATAACTTAGTAATTAACTACGTCTGAAAGCAGAAGTCCAGGGCAAATAATTGGAAGTCTCTTCAGTGCGCATGTCACAAAACGAGATGCATTGTGGGACATGTAGTTTATGGGCAACCTGCTTCTGTAAAGTGGCATGTAACCGTATAATAAACGTATTATATTCTTTGCAAGCTCTTGCGGGGCCACATACAATGAAGTCGCGGGCCGGATTTGGCCCCCGGACCTTGAGTTTGAGACCCCTGATCTACGGCAATGCATCGTATTTTATAAGATGATCATATGTTTGTAGCTTTGTGGAAATCACTGCTGCAGCAGAATATTCACCAGGAGCCAGGAAGTCGTTTTTAACACAAAGTTAAAAACTCTGATTAGAGGAGGGTCAGGGGGTCATGAGGTCACGTTAGAGACTGATATTCAGGAAAGTGATTCAACATCAGCTGATTTAGGATTCTGGAAAACAACAGGGCGACCAACAGGAAGTGTTATCTAAGACAGGAAGTGGACGGTCCTGAGCTGAATAAACAAACCTGCAGGTCACACACCACGAGACACTGGGTACAGGACAGGAAAAGGAAGTGTGTGTGTAGGTGTGTGTGTGTGTGTGTGTGTGTGTGTGTGTGTGTGTGTGTGTGTGTTTCTGAACAGCATCTCTAAACATCCAAACTAGAGGAAAAGTCAAGGCGTTACTCACCACTTCCAGAATCTTCTCCTCGATCTCATAAACAGTGCAGTTCTGTAATTAAAGAGACACACACACTGTTGGACGTCACACTGCAAAAAACGTTTAAAAATGAACTCCAAACAGCTGCATTTACATCACAAACTAGTTAGAGATTCTTCACGAGAAATAACTATGTTAAGCCAAAAGCCACTAGTTTCAGTTTAGATAGAGGAAGAAGAAACAACTTAAATAATAGAAGATAGGATCTGGATTTTGTGCTTTTATTTTGAAGAGGTATAGAAACAGATGATACGCAGCAAATCATTTAAGACAGTTACTTATTATTATCATGTAAAGATGTTTTATTCTCCATCAGAATCATATGTTTAGAACGATAATGTAGGCAGATAACATTTAAGAGTTATATTGATGTCTTACTCAAAGGCTCTTCTGACGGATAGAAAAGATTTTAAACATGTTTCCCAACTCGCATTTATTTTCAGAACTGGCAGAAGTGACGTACTGTATGCATTTAGAAAACTCCTGAACGCTCCTCCAGAGACTGATAATGTAGATTTATAGACCTGTGTAGAAGTCCTCAGAACAAGAAACCCATACATGACAATGCCTTCTCGATGTAGACGTTTTTGGATTTGATGAAACATCTTCAAGGATTTATCTTCGATGCAATGTGACTCATATGTCCTGGTGACTACCTTCTTACATCTGCTCTCTGATCTCTCGGCGAATTGAAAGTAGCTATTGCCTGAGATCTCATGATGTGGTTTTATTAAATGTGCCAAGTGCTAGGACTGACTTAGGGACGAAAGCTTTTAGGTGCGCAGCTCCACTAACTTGGAACAGTCTGCAAAAAGAATGGAAGCTGAGCAATTTGTTTCCACGACATGTTTTTAAAGCACGGATAGATGCTATCCAATCGGAAACTGTTGGAACCTGTAAATGTCCCGAGCTGTGTAAACTGTAGTCGCTGCAAATATGATGTCCTTTTTGTTTTCTGTTTTTATGTCTTCATGTGGAACCTACTTGCTGCAGGTCTCCCTTGAAAAAGCGATCAATGATCTCAATGGGATTCACCTGCATAATTAAAGGTTTGAAATGAAATGAAATGAAAGCCTTCATGAGGGGCACAGACTAGCTGCAGGTTTCAGGACTTTACTTATTATAAAGCTTTATATTCTGTATTTTTAGGGGGAAACAAGGAACACATTGAATAGAATAACTCGATTTTAGGAGGAATTTAAAGAGAATAATGGGAACATTAAGTATTATGAAGTCAGAAAGGCTCATCCATTAATAAAGCTTTTTTGAACTGTAGATATGTGCTACATCACAAACAGTATACAGATGAAGACCAGAAACAGGTTTGGTTTGTTTAAAAAAAGGCAGAATTTCAACCCCGTCATATCAAATGAGAGCGTTTGGCTTTTCCGTCTGTGTGAAGAAGAACTGAGCGTGGGTAAACAGAGAGGGAAGAGAATCAGCGGGAAAACAAATATTTGAGCAATGACAGCCTGCAGGAGAGTGAAACCAGAGGGAGGGACCCTGAACGCCTCACAGAGAGGATTCCTCCTGCGGTGGTGACACGATGACAGGATGATTGCACGCCTCAGCGCTGCAGAAACACTGCCGTCACACACAGGGAGGTGACAGGAGATATCCAGCATGCATCCTCAGAAACTATTAACCACTACCTACTTTTAAAGGGTTTAAACTACTTCATCTGTCTCACCATGAATGTCTCGTTAAAGATGTTGCCATGCTCAGACTTGTGTGGTCAAAGATATTGATTTGAAATGGTTTCAAGCATGGATGTATAATAAGAACTGGATACAGCGTGGGAGGCGGGGTCTCGTTCTTTCCTATGAGAGCTGCTCATTGGCGCATGAGGACAAAATGGCCCAACTTTTGAGAGAGCGAAACGTCACGGATTACCCATCATGCCTTGCTGTCAGAGCAGAACAACCCGTATGTGCGCTCATAGAGCATGCGCAGTTGAGTTGCCCCTTAAGCCCCGCCCCCGAGCTCCCACTCCGAGATGCGCGTTCATAATGCCGAGGAAAATAACTCTCAGAATAACGTTATTAGCACATTTTACAACTTGAGGACCTAATGTTTTTAATAAGGGCTATACAAACGTTCATACTGGGTAGTTTATTTAGGTTTAAAAAAATAAATAATTCGTCTCTTTCCCAATTTTAGTCAATGGGAAAAAGTATTTCCGGGCCCAGCGACTGATACGGAAGTTGCAGTACCGCCATTTGGCCACAACGAATATTTTCCTCAGAGTCCGGCACACTTCCTGGGGGCTTGGGTTCAACACCTCTTTCCTGCACTTTGGATGCTCTGGTTTTCGTTGTAAACAAACACTTGTTGCAGACGCTCTGCAGCTGGCCCTCGTTCATGTGTTTTATATTCAAAATGATATTCACCCGAACCCGAAGCCGTCGTCTGTGTTCGTTCTTGTAATGTGTTGCCTTTTACACGTGTGAAAGTCTCAGAAGCTTTTGGACATGTGCACGACCTGAAGAGCTATATTGTTTTTTCAATAATGTATATTTTTGAAAATGATTCTTGACATATCTTTTGACAAATATAATAAATCAAATACAAATAAATGGTGATGAATAGATTAAGAATATAACATTTTAAATGTCCCTCTTGTTCTTGCTTGTTTTGGTAACGCTGATATCTGAAAGAGAACCATCTTCAAAAGGACTTTGTACTGTGTAAACAGAAGTCATTATCAGAATCAAAGCCTGAGAATAAACAGTCCCGGGGGGTGAAAACACGAGAGGTCAGGAGCTTCTCTCCGTCTCTGATGTCTCGTTAACACAGGAGACATCTCACAGCATCAGATGTTGATGAAGGTTTATTGGAGCAGATGCACTGACCTTCTGCACGGTGGAGGTGAGCTCCAGGCACAGCTTGATGATTCGGCTCTTGGTGGGGGTGAAGTCGTTGGAGCTCGTCAGAGGAGTTCTGGAAACACAGAGACAATGTTGGTTTGGGGAGAGATGAGGTCGGAGTCCAGACGCCAAACTCAACTAAACGCAGCTGCTAATAAACATCTCAATTTGCTTTTCAATGTGACAGTTTGATTAAGAAGCTGTAATGTTTGGAGCAAGTTGGTCGAACTGAACCTAGTTAAGTTCTTATTGATCTGGACATTTTATTGCTCATTTTTACTTAAAGGTAGGGTAGGTAAGAATGGAGAAACCAGCTTGAGTGCGCTAGAATTTGAAAGTACGCAGCCGGAAAACATCTGCCCCTTCCTTCAGACTTCCTTACAGAGCCCCTCCTCCAACACACACACGAACGCGCACATAACCAATGAGGGCACGAGACAAGTTTGTGCACGAGATGGAAGGCTGACAGGCAGGCAGGCCATCCAGTTATTTCAGCCGGGCCGGCTCAGATGATTGGTCGTGCTTTTTACAGTACTACGGCTTCCACAGATTAAATTTTTTTATGTATTTATTGTCAAAGCATTTAATATATTCATTGCTATCGGGATGTTAAGAGCATTCCATGGAATATAACAAGTGTTTCTGAAGTGAATTACCTACCCTACCTTTAACTTCTTATGTCTATATCAATATTTTTGTATATTGTATTTTTGTTCATGAAACCCAATTCCCCCTGGATAAACCGAGTATTCTAATTCTGCTGATTTGCAACTAGATTCAGGTTAAATGTAATGCTTTTGAACACCAGCTCAGGTGTTAGGTGCCACACGACAGATGTCAGGTGGGTTTTAGGCGTCAGTGCATAAACTTGTGTGTGTGTGTGTGTGTGTGTGTGTGTGTGTGTGTGTGTGTGTGTGTGTGTGTGCGACAGCTGCAGTGAGCAGGAATGTTCTTCAAGCTGAAACAAGCCGAGAGAAACCTCCAGGAGTCAAACAGCAGACAGAGAGACTGACAGCTGACACACGCATGTTAACAAGATATGTGTGTGTGTGTGTGTGTGTGTGTGTGTGTGTATATGATGGTTTATGGGACAGTGCAATTTAACACCTTCTGGTTTTTCTGTGAAGCAGGACACTCACTTCAGAGGACACAGGTGTAATAATACATAATATTTACATAGTGCTTTTCCCAGAGCTCAAAGATGCTTTATAAGAAAATACAAGAAAATAAATAACAACAAAAACAGTCCTGAGCTAAGTAGAAGAAGGGGGGTGGGGTAGAGGATTATAGGTTGAAAGCAACAGAGAACAGGTGAGTTTTGAAGGGTTTTGTGGAGCTTGTGAGGGAGGTGGCGTGATATAACCTGCAGGACGGAGTGTGTACCTGTCGAGCCAGGACAGCAGACTCTTGGCGGCTCCGATCAGCTCCACCACGGCCGTCAGGAACTCGTTGGAGGGCTGATGGGAGATCTTGCTGTGGTAGGCGGGGTTCTTCCTGCGCTCCGACACCGCCGTGTTCAGGTTGCTGTGCGCCGCTCGCATCTTCCCCACCAACGTCTTCAGGGTGTCCTTCTCCACACCCAAGTTCTGTACATCATATGTAAAGAAAACATGCTTTAAATTCAATCAATCACACAATTATCTCAGGGGGCTTGTGTACAGCATACACCACCCTCTGTCCTTAGACCCTCGTAGGGAAAACTCCCAAATAAACCCTACAAAGTGTAGGGAAAATGTAATAAACCTCGAGGAGAGCAACAGAGGAGAATCCCTCTTCCAAGACGGACAGACGTGCAATAGATGTCATGTGTAGAGATTGAAAAGATAATACATCTACAACATAAACAGTCTAAATGATAGGAAAGATAATGTGATTCGGTGCCAGCTAAAGAATTGAGAGGATGCTTCAGATGCAACAATGTTAGAGCTTACATTGAATATATACAGCACATTATCAAAATATAGGAATCTGATATGTTAAAGCGAGGAGCTCTAGACAGGAAGATCTGCCCTCCAGTAATACTTATATCTCATTTTAAAGTACTTTTCAATATGTACAGTTGACTCTTGATTATCCCAATGCTTAGATTTTTATAAACATATTTAGCAGCTTATTCAAT